CTGGTGCCTGGCTCCGCCCAGACCGCCGTGCCCGCTGTGCCCACCCAGTACCTGGCGGCTGCCCATGTACAGCACGAAGCGGTCCCCGGTGACCTGGCCAGACGCCATCTTTGGACTCTGGAGGTAGAACTTGAGAGCGGTGTAGGCGGCGAGGTCGGAGAGGTCCCGAGGGGCACGCAGCTGCACCCCCGAGCGCCCATTGAACTTCATGGGCACCTTGACCTACGCGGGGGGTACGTGGCTCATCAGCGTCCACCGTCTCAACCCCCGGACGCCCGCTCTCCCCCGGCACTCGTGCCCACCTTGCTGGCAGCCCCCCGGGCTTGGGCAATGAGCTCCCGCACGCGGCCAATGTTGGTGGACAAGGCCAGGCTGGCGTTGTGCGCCCCACGGTTTTCCAGGAGGCTCAGCTTGGCCAGCAGCCGTGGCAGCGTCTTCTCCAGGGTGGACACTGCGGGGAGCAGAGGGGGTGACCCTGATGGCCCCGTCTCACAGGCTCCCGGGCCACCCCCGTCGGGGGCACCGCACCCCAGGCGCCCACCTGAGCGGCCCGCGTCCAGGACCACCTGGCCCAGGTCCTGGCTCCGCAGGTCCCCGTACTGGCCCTGCCACCGCTCCAAGTTCTGCTGCATGTTCCGAATCCGGGACTGCACACGGGCGGCCGTGTCCTGGGCTCCAGCGGCCACGGCTTTGGCATGAGCGATCTTCCTGCTCGTCTCGTCTGTGGTGGGCAGCGGACAGGTACGTTCAGAGCAATGCAGGCAAGGACCACCCTGGCTTCACCTCCCATCCGGGGAGACCGCCAGCTCCCCCCAGAGCTCACGAGAACAAGCACTGGAAACACCACTGTCTGTCCTGTCCTGTCCTCCACCAGATGGTTCCTTTTACGCCAGCTTCTCAGACCACGGCCCGGTCACCCTAACGCCCACTCCCCATGGCCACCGTCCTCCGTCCCAGGGCCCTGCCTCCCCATGGCCACCGTCCTTTGTCCCGGGGCCCTGCGTAAGTCTCCACGGCCCCCATTTGCAAGCTTGCTGGCACGTTCTACCCTCGAGCGGGCAGCCACACGGTTGGACCTGGGTGGGGCACACCGGTCCTTGCCCAGAGGCCTTGCCTGCGTCCTTGGCTCCGGCCACAACGGCCGCGTCGGTCCCACCTACACCTCATGGCCTCCAACCACCCCTGTCCTCCCTTGGACATCTTTCCCGAGAACCAGGTCCTGCCCAATGCCCCAAACCCCTGGGGGTGAAATGTCCCCACTACACACTCCCCATGCAGCCAAGTTACACTTGGGTAGCCCCAGAGGCAGGGTCCCAGGGCTGGGGCTACCCAAGTGTAAACACGTCCCCTGTCAGGGCCCACTGGGGAGCACGGACCAGCACGACGCCCGTGTGGGGGAGGGGTCTGTTCACCCCAGGACAAGCGGAAGGTGAGGCCAGACGGAGACCAACCTACCTGTGTCCATGGCCAACATGGCCTGTACCTCCCGGACTCGGGCTGCCAGCTGCTCCTTCTTGGCCTGGGCATCTCGGAGCGGGGTCCCGGTGCCCTGGAGGGTAGCCCGCGCTGTGGCGGAAGGCAGCCTCAGCCCCGGGAGCCCCTCCTCCCCCACTCCTGGCACGCAGGCCCAGCCCTCTCTGCCGGCCCAACCAGCAGGGATGGACCCAGGCCGACATGCACACAGACGGGGAATTCTGGACACGAGGGCCCCCAGCTTGGGCAGGTGCTGGAGTGATGGGCTCGTGGCAGCCACCCGGTCCCTCCACAGGCGTAATTATCCCCATCTCGTACATAAGATAACGGAACCTCGGAAGAGCCGGGCCACCGCCTGGGGGCTGCCCACACCCCAAGGTTCTGGCAGCAGAGGGAGTGTTCCTGCCACCTTTTGTCATGCCACAGGCTGGTGT